GGCTGGCATGGGGTGGGGAGAAGGGGCCAGAGCTGGTGTGGCCAGGAGCAGGGCAGGGAGGGAGAAGGGTCCCAGACTGGCATGGCTGGGATGGGGGAAAAGGAAAAGGGGCCCAGGCTGGTGTGTTGTGGAGGGAGGGAAAAGGGTCCCGAGGTGGCACAGCCTGGCTCTCCCAAATGGCCAGTGTGAGAGCCGGGGTTGCTTACCCCCCACAAGAGGCAGGTTGGTGAGCATAGCGAGCAAGAGGCAGAGCCCCCTAGTATCCTGTAAAATTATGGTCATGATGTATTATTTTTGGCTCCCACATACAGATTATGTTGGTGTGCCTGGGTTTGATGGTACATGGAAATCTGAATCTGATTATGTGCCAGATGCTAAATGTGTCTATAGTGGAATCTCAGTTATGAATACAAGAGTTACAAATTGACAGGTTTATCACACATCTCATTTGGACAGGGAAGTACACAACCCTGGCTGGAGCGGCCTCCAGCGCCTACCAGTTAACCTAGTAAGGGTGAGGCTTTCCTAATCCAAAGTCTTTTAGAGTCAATGTAAGTCCATGGACTTCAGCTGACTTTGATAACAAACAGGCTTTTGCTGAATCCTCTGTTCCAGTTTGTTTAAATATTATAAGCTTCAGCTTTTAGATCAAGAAAATATTCCACTTTTAACATATCAACCATCCAGTCAGCTGTATGTGATATTCCAAAAATACAAATAATTGACTTTTAAAAAAAGGAATCTTTGATGAGTAATTTTCACATATTTCTGCTTATTTTCACAGGAATCAAGAACCTTATGGCAGTCCTCCCTTTCCTACTACTCCTTTTCCAATGAACAATTGTTTACCTCAGGATTATTCAGTCTTTCAAAAGATGGTAAGTTTGCTTAAATTGTACAAATCTGGTTAATAATTGTTCTTTCCATCAAAACAAAATGAGTTATGTGAAATGAAAGAAAACAGAATTCATGCATTAAAGAGTACATTTTCTGAATTCTTAGTCACTGTGTCCAAATAACAAAGATGTGTCTATGTAGTAGTTTCACATTCTTAGCATACGAGAGAGTATAAAATCAAGAATTTTGTCTTCTGATGTACTTATGTAGGCACATTAAAATGGAAGCTCGGTCAGCATTTTGGGACCTGGTTACCCGTTCAGAATTTTAATTCTGCTCTGACACTTGCGTCCTCAAATTGAAGGAGTCCCATTCTTTTGAAAATAATGTTGCTTATTTTGGTGCTTGAATATGAATATTAGTGCCCAACTTTTGGCAACTAACATTGTGGGCTGGATTCTGTCTTGCACTGTGGTCCAGTTATGCTGTCAATATCAAAGACAGCGGATTTGCTAAATTAGGGATATAATAGTATAGTCAATTAACCAATAAGCCAAAGCTTATTGACTACATGCATTTCCCACCCTCTTGCCAGTAAATTTTTTAGCAGGCTGGCTAGCAGCCCAGCTCAGTCCTGGCTCATGCCAGGTCTGGGACTTACCCCTGTGGTGGCTTTGCAATTAAAGTGTTTTAGGAGTCGGGCGGGCAGGCAGCTCAGCTCAGTTCCAGCTCGTGCCAGGTCTGGTAGCTCAGACTCTTCTTAGTCAGGGGCTGCTGCCACCTCTGTATCAGAGGCAGCAGCATGGGGTGACAGGCAGCTGGTTCATGAGGGGAGCTGGTTTTTAAACTGGCACTCCTTGTGGACCAGCTCCCTCCTGGCACCCTGCACTGCTGCCTCTGATACAGTCTAATATTTGCCTCAATTTTCTTGTCCTTAAAATGGCAATATTAAAGTATCCTACAACGATATATTTATGTAATACGTTGTAGCTCTTTGATGATGGAAAAGCATTATAGAAGGTAACAATTTGTAGTTTTAAAATGGTGCTAACATTCATTATTGATGCAATGGTGCATGCAAAATTAAGCTTTGTCTTGTTAGAACTTAGAGCTATCAATTTGTCAGCTAAATCAAGCACTTAACAAAATAAATTAACTAGATTAAAAATAGTTACAATGTATTGCAGTTTTAATCGTACTATTAAATAATAGAATACCAATTTAAATATATTTGGACATTTTTTTACATGAGGTTTCTGACTATGTGTCTGTCTTTGAGTCCATTTGTTCAAGAACTCCTCCTAAATAGTAAGAGCTAAGACCACTACATTTGGTATGAAGCTTCCTTTCATCCTATCTTAAAATAAGGTCAGGGTTTGGGTGTGCCAGGAAAATGGAATTGCCTGGAATTTGATAGTTTTCCAAAACATGGAAAGGGAGGGGGAGAGAGAGAGAAGGGACATGATCCTAAGTCACCACTGAGGACAGCAAGTGCAGGAGAGAGCTATCCTGCAGAGTGACCACTGGGGGCAGCTGCACCATTGATGGAGTGGCCAGCAGTGGATGGGACTCTGCTATCTTGCCTGCCATTGATAAGTGACCTCACTACCTAAAACCCTGCTCCCCTGCCACCCCCCAGAGCACCACCAGGGCTGGTCAGCCCAGCCCTGGCTGCCCTCCACAGAACCTAGCAGTGTCTCCCCTCTCCCACTGCTGGGACACCTCGCCTGTGCGGTTCCCTCTTCTCCTACCCTCCAGGACTGGGCCTGAGGAGAGCTCACAGGGGAGGCCTGCATGGCCTGCTCTTCTCCTGTGCCCGTCCAGGCCATTCCATGCCACTGGGGGAGGCCTGCACAGCTCCCCCTGACACCTTGACTCTCCCCCCACTGGGTCTGGGTAGTAGGGATATTAAATTGCATTTAATCAGCTAATTGAGTAGTCGATGGAATTTCCGTTGACTGCTGGATTGGTCAATAAAGGGGGAAACTCCAGAGCCGCCAACAGGGTTAACTCCCAGCCCCGGGGAGTGAACCCCACTGCAGATGTGCCTTCAAGAAGAGGTGCAGAGTCTGGGACCAGGCGTGAGTTGATCAGCTGATTCCCAGCTTGTGCCCAGTCCCCACACTACGCCTCTGCCTCCCCAGTTCCCTGCAGAGATGGTGCTGGGGAGAACTGGCATTTAAGCCGGCTTCCCCAGCACCGACTCCTGCTCCCGTTCCCTTTGATATCTCTTTCTGATAGCGGTAGCAATGGGGGCAGGAAGCGACTAGTCACTTACATCCCTACTGGGGAGTGATTCTGAAAGAGGTCTGCACAGTCTCTATGTCCTCTTCCCTGCCCCTGGGCTCTGGGTAATGCCACTGGGGGAGGCCTGCGTGGCACCTACCAGTTCCTCCACCTAAAGAGCACTGGCGGGAAAGGCCTATGCGGCTCCCCTTTCTTCCTCTTCCCCCTTGGCCAGGCCTGGGGAGTGCCAGCCTGGAGGAGGCTTGTGCAGTCCCAGCCCCTCCAGCCCCCATCAAGGTCCTCATCTCTCGGCCCTGGGCCGGCCCCCTTCCCCCAACTCCTGGTTGGCCTCCCTCCTCTAGCCTTGACTGACTGGCAGGGCTCCCCAAACCCTGGGCCGCTCCCCCATGTCCCTGGCCTGAGACAGTGGGCTCG